AGAAACCTTTCATTGCTCAGTATTACTTCCTCAGCACCTACAAACAATATCAGGTTTCTGATTTTAAAAATCACCATTTCTGAGATAGGAGTTTTCACCCCTGCTAAAATCTACAATAAACAGTAGATGCTGAAGACACCTGTTCACATCTGTTCTCCAAAATTAGGAAATAGTTCTGAGTAAACAAAAGCAATTCCTTGGCCAAGTCCTAGGCAGGGAAAAGAAGTAACAAGGTATTTTATATCCCTGAATATTACAATTTCAAATCTGAGTCTTTGTATTTGAAATGAACACATGTGTCAATGATTTTTTTTCCTATAGTGAGCCAGTAACATGTGCTCCAAAGTTTTGATACCAAAATACTGTTCCAAAGGATTATGTCTGGCAGGAAGATCCTTGCCTTTGTAGTGAGAAGGCCTCGAGTTCCAGCACTGACTCTTCCAGGCATTAGCAATGATGTGTTACCCAGAAGAGTTATACCATGAAGGAACCTGGACAACATCATCTGCCTTGCTGGGCTCAGAATTCTTGGAAAATCATTAAGATTGTGGTGAGGAGTCAAGGCCATCCAGAGGAAGTCACATGCTGGCTTTTTCTATCAGCCTTCTTTTGGCTATAATATCACAAAACAAACTTTCTGATTTCCTAGTCATCACTAAAGGTCCAGTCAAATGTATGCTCACTGCAAATAGCCTCAAATTCATGCACAGAAGAGGGACCTTGTTCTCTGGGCTTCTATTCTACTCTCTTCCTATTTGACTTGCCAGCTGCCTTCTCTCACTGGACTGTAATGATCATGAATGTTTATGATAACCAGGATATCTATCTATCTATCTATCTATCTATCTATCTATCTATCTATCTATCTATCTATGTTGTTTCTACACCAAGGGCTCTGCCAGGGCAGAGAGTGGAAAAAAATCACTACTGTTATCTTGAGCACCTGTCCCTGGGCCTGGCATTAATAGGAGCTTAAGAAAGTCCTGTGCTGCTGATGGAGTAAACTAGCACTTTCATACAATGCTAGTAAGAGCACAAATGGTGCAACTCTAAAGCTAATCTGGCAATATCTGGCAATACAGCTGTCAGAAGCATCAGCCATGTTAGGCATGGTGGCACATGCTTATAATCCCAGAGGCTCGGGAGGCTGAGCCAGGAGGATTGCGAGTTCAAAGCCAGCCTCAGCAACTTAGCAAGACCCTGTTTCAAGATTAAAAAATAAAATATAGGGCTGGGGATGTGGCTCAGTGGTTAAGCACCCCTGGGTTTTATCTCAAAACTAAAAAAGAAAGAAAGAAAGAAAGAAAGAAAGAAAGAAAGAAAGAAAGAAAGAAAGAAAGAAAGAAAGAAAGAAAAGAAAAGAAAGAAAGAAAAGAAAAGAAAAGAAAAGAAGAAGCATTAGCCATACCAAGAGGGGACTGAGGCTGGGAGGCATGCAGGAAAATTCTAGTCTGGGAGACAAGACTGAGCTTCCCACCCTCTGATCAGCTGTGGGATCTTGGCAATTCCCTCCACATTTCCCAAGTGAAGGGTTTTTTGCCCACACAATGATGGAGTCAGATGATAATCTTGCATTCTATCCATAGCAAGTTCTCAAAACAGAATGAGGAAAACAATATGGAAAGATGTTGATCTTTACCAAGATAGCCTCAGCTGGCAACAAGGTCCTCTACTCTCATTGCCTGAGCTTTGGGAGATGTATGGCATTCCTCTGAGCAAGTATGCACCTGGGAGGCTCACCCTAACTCCAGGGGTAGCAGGTCCTTGGCCTAATATCACCTCTTCCTGCTCCCCATGATCTGTAGTCCACAGACTACAGTTCCATGAGATCTTAGTAGGTGGTCACACAAACATGCATAACATAAACTGGATCCTTGCTCAGAAAGACATGATAAATACATGTCTACAACATAAAACTTTTGAAGCTTTGTTCTGTCAACACTGCTATGAAATCTCCAGATTAAAAATAAATATAATAAGATGGGCAATGTTGGTGTGTTCAATTCCCTTAATTTATTTTTCCTTAAAGAAGCATATCCTGGGCCCACTGTTCAACAGCCTATTCTTTTTTTAGTACTGGGGATTGAACCCAGGGCACTTGACCACTGAGCCACATCCTCTGCCCTAGTTTGTATTTTATTTAGAGACAGGGTCTCACTGAGTTGCTTAGTGCCTTGCTTTTGCTGAGGCTGGCTTTGAACTCGTGATCCTCCCATCTCAGCCCCTGAGATTACAGGTGTGTACCACCATAGCTGGCTCAATAGCCTATCCTTTGAGAATACTGAAAACCTCTGATCTGTTTCCTCATTTCTAGAAACCAAATTCAATATGCCTATCCTCTCTTGCTTAGCTGCCCTTGCAATAGAATTAGACCTAAAGATTCTAAAAGCCCTTGAAAATTGATACAAAGTTCCCTAGAGCTTTAAAACCCATTGAAATATAAGTTGGAAATGAACCAAGGAAGCATCTACAGTGAAGTGCTCAATGCCTACCTTCCTGGCAGCAAGGATCCTGACTCTGCTACATGGACGTAACAGCCCTCAAATCCTTCCATTTTAGATGGTATCCACCTCTCCACTTTATTCCCATCCCCAGACTACAGCTGCCCAAAGTAAATTAGGGGCCATTCAGTAAACAAGCTTGGTTTTGAAGATTTCATAAAATGAAGGGGGGCTAGCTCTTTCCTCTCCCACACCTGTTCCTCAACCATCATTTAGGGTCCCCTACCAGGCAAGGGGATCAACTCACCCCCTATACTCTCCCCTCACACCTCCGTCCCTACCCTATTTCCCTCCCACAGCGTGGACCTATGGAAGAATAAAATCCCTCTGTGAATTCCCTACCAGCTCCAACAATGTCCTAGACTCATTTTAGGCTGACTCATGAACTGAATTTAAAATTTTAGACAGAGGATTGTTGAACAAAGCTCTGAAACCTTTGAGACTCTGTACTCTTATGGGCACATCAGCTCAAATAACTTTTAGTGCCCTGGTTTCCCCATGTGTGCAGGAATAGAGATTATTGATGACTTTTAAAATAACATATTCAAGAATTACCTGTGGATGTTAAAAATAAATATAATAAGATGGGCATTGTTTAAATCTATTATGCTACAGTATAACCCTTAATAAATATGAAATCACATGGAAAAAGTTACTATAAGGTTAAGGTAACAATAGTGCCCAAAAAATGCAATAAGATGTTTCTAAGTAAAAGCCATCACAGAAGGGTCACATAACCCTTCCCTTCCTCCCTTCTTCCTTCTCTCCCTCTCTCCTTTCCCACCCCATTCTTTCATTTTCAAGGCAGAATTTTATCATTATAGACAATATATCCAGGGAATAAAAAAGATTCTGTAGTGACTGATGAAGAAACATAGTTTGCCCACAGCTCTGAGGTTTTATGCAAACAGTGGTCTCTTTGTACCTACTTGTTTCATTCTCCAGTTGTGGTTTCTATGTGTAGAAGGTAGAGGTGGGACAGATACGGGCTGGAGCTACCTCATTTCTAACACTCCAAGACCTTGTACCTTACAGAGAACTAACAATGTGGAAAGATTTAAGGGCCACGGCCACATGATGTGTTCTATAAGATGGAGTTTGAAGTGGCAAGGCAGGCCTGGTGGGTGAGGGTAGGAAGCTTCTATGTAATTTGTTAAAATAAAGGAAACCTCAAGTCTCCTTTTGTGATTTAAGAGGAAGTCAATCAAGACCAGTTTGTAGTTTAACTTGGCCATAGCTTGGCTATATTTTAAACAGCAATGATTATTATTGGTTTTAAAAATAAAACCAATATTTTCAAAGAAATGTTGACTTAAAAAAAAAAGTTTTGCTGTTGCTTCTGATAAAATCATGCTCCAAATAAATTTTTAAAACTTTAGCAAAAAAATTATGAGCTAAAACAACAGAAGGAAGTACAGCTCCCAGATCTGGAGGGATGTACTGAGGTTTGTTTACCACCTATGATTGGTTCTCTGGTACAATATTGTTTAATAGAATCATTTATCATTCTATATCCTTGTTTGATTTAGCTTGTTGTACACTAACCAAAATCTGCCAGCTCTAATGTCTAAAGAAAATAGATAAATTTAACATAAAAATTATTACCTACTCTTGTACAATATGAATTTCAATAAAAACAGCTTGAACCAGAATTATTTCTTTCAGAACAAAGCACCCCTCCCTTTCCAACACCTTACCCTAAAATAGAAAAACACACACATCATAACCATACATGCATTATTTTCTAAAAAGAGGCAACTTGGGCTGTGTCAAGGCTAACAAACAGAAATAGATTTTACTCCTGGCCAACAGCTCAAACCATCCATCAGGGTAAATTGAAGATGTTTTTGGAATTAGTGTACAAGCAGACACACCCTGTTTACCCAAAACCGTAAAACATGACAATTTCCACACTAACAGTCTCCATCCCAGAATAGTGCTGGAAATTTATCAGGGACAATTTACTCCTGAATGCAAATAGAAGATCCTTGAGTTTACAAGGGGGTGGGGGTAGGAGTGAATAATAAACTTTAATTCTTGTGGATTCTAAAACCAAAAATAATTTTGAAAGAATGAAAATAGATTTTATTTCTTTACTTTTGTTCCTGTGGAGTTGGGAATCAAACAGAGGGCCTTGGGTATGTTAAGCAAGCTCTCCATCACTGAGCTACATCTGTGTCTTGAAAATGGATTTTAAATGTCCTTAAAATCCAGAGGGAAATGGAGCCTCAGTTTAATTTTTTTTAATTTTTTAAAATTTTAACCAAGAAAGCCAAACCAGCAATACAGCAGGAGTACAATCAGAAAGAAGGACACACCCTTCCACCAGGCCACAGGCAGAACATAAACATAAACTTGCACTGAGCCCAAAATTAATACCACCAGCAATCACAGGAGCACACTCAAGTTGGAAAGAATACAGATGCCTTCATTAATGTCATATGCAGAATACAAATGCATGCAGGGCTCTCACAGAACATATACATGGTTCTCTCTTACCTCCAACATGGGCCGGGCACTATCGTGGACAGATAGAATATGTGTCACCTTGTTCTTGCTCAATTGCTCTGCGTCTCTTGCATCTGTCATCCAAGAAAGGGGATGGACAATTTAATATTCTCTGCAAATTAATTACAACACAACATGACTTGCACATTTCTTTCTTGAAATTTCATAATTGACCCTATCTAGAACAATCAAATGGAAGGAATTTAGGGCTACTACTTTATGCATTTTGCCTAAATTTATTTCTGACTGGCATATCTTTTGATCCAAAGTGTTGCTCTAAAACTTAAAATGTATTTAAATTAATAAACATTATGATCATGATGACTGTTGTTCAAAAGAAGTCATTTTATAGTCAGCGTGTATAAGCCACTCATCTTCAGGTCAGTCTTTTTACATGAGACATGTAACAATAAAGATGTTTAAAATATTTAAAAGCCCAATTACCTCTTAATGATTAGTGCTCTAACTTGAAACTAAATACTAAAGATCACTTACAAGACAGAGGAACCTTCTAGGTATTTCTTGACCCTGACATCAAAAGCAGGGAAAAGTCTAGACTGAGGCAAGACGGTGGTTTGGTTATATATCTATATTCACTTCCAAGCAAAGGGAAAAATGGAACATATTTTAGACATTCCAAACAAAATTGTCTATCAGTTGTCAATGGACTAATAAGTTATCTGCATATGAATCTAGAGAGACATCAAAATTATATTCCCTTCTCATACTCTTACCTATAGAAAAGACCCAATGACATGATCCTCCAAATTAAAACCCTCTGCTAGTTTACAAAAATGGGGAGCCAGCAAAAAAAAAGGAGGAAAGAAGTCAGCTTTCTTGAGCCTTTGGACTGGCCGAGTTCTTCAAAAGATACAGGTTCAAAGGGATTTAACGGCAAATGCTTTATTATTACGTTTCTGGAGAACATTTCATGGCATGGGGAAATGCTCAGGATATAATGTTAAGCCAGGAGAAAAATCAATAATCAAACTATAAATATAGTATACCAAATCTGTAATGCCCAATTTGTAAAAACATGTAAGGATAAACACACATATGGTGCTGAACTGATATACAGGTTTATTAAGAGACAGAATTTACCAGTTTTCTTTTCCTTATATAAGGTGTGTGTATTCTGCACAAGCGGTTCTAAGAGTTCAACATGCCCCAAACTATTTGGTAGACTTGTTAGAAAGGCAGATTCCTGGGATACAATTAAGTTCTAGGTCTACAGTGGAACTAAGAAATTTTCACTTCTAACGGGCTTTGAGGATGAAGCAGAAATTTAAGAGATGCTCTTCCAAATACTCAGCAAGGTCAGGAAAAAGCCCTTAATAGTACAATATTGGTTTATATTTACTTTCTTCATTGTTTAACTATATTGAGCTTCAAATTTCAATATGCACAGTACTATTTCCATCACACACATAGGGACACAATTCTAGCCCCCAGCCACTACCACAAGTTGGGATATTAACCAGATTAATTTTAAATTAGACGGTACTACACAGTTTGTATTTGGAAGGTTCTCCCAATGGCCCTTGTGTTAAAGGATTGACCCTCGGCTTGGTGCTACTGGAAGGTGATGGAAACTTTGGGAGGTGGAGCCTGGTAGCAAGATGTTTTAGGTTGCTGGGGTTGTGACATTGAAAGGGACTGGTGAGACACTAGCCTCTTCCTCTCTTTATTTTTCTTCCCAGCTGCCATAACATCAGCAGCTTCCTGTACCATGCATTCCTATTACAATGTGTTACTTTACCATGGGCCCCTAAAGCAATGGGTCAACAACCACAAACTGAAACTTCCAAAATGGTGAGCCAAAACAACATGGTAAGTTGACTGCCTATTATATTTATCATAGTAACAGAAAGCTGACTAACACAGGCAGGAACAGGAATCCTTTAGGAACCCACAGGCAGCTGGTTCCCACATTCATACTAAAATGCATTTCGCCAATAATTGGCAATATGTGTATTTTTAGACAAGTAGTGAAACAAGATAAATTGGAGCTTTTGAAGCCCACAGACAATGTAGCCAAATGGGAACAGCCTGATGAAGCAGGCTCATATGATGGTCTTCTCCAGGGTTCTCCCAGATTCTAATTCTTCCAGCATTTGAATCTTAACAATCAATATTTATTTAAATGTATGATGGGCCTGCCATATCCAAGGGTTTCACATTCTGCAATACCAGATAAAAAATTTGAAAAAAACTGCATCTATATTGAACACATATAGACTTTATTTAGTCATTATTCCCTAAACAACACAGTATAACAACTATTTGCATAGCATTTATATTGTATTAGGTATCATAGGTAATCTAGAAGTGATTTTAAAATATACAAAAGGATGTATGTAGGTTATATGCAAATGCTATGGAATTTTATATAAGGAATGTGAGCATCCACAAAGTTTGGTATCCATGGGGTATCCTGGAACCAATCCCCAGAAGATATGGAGTGAAGACTATGCTTTTTTTTCTTTTTATAATAGCTTTATGGAGATATAATTCACATGCCATAAAAATTCACCTTTTTAAAAGTGTACAGTGATGATTTTTAGTACATTCACAGAGTTGTGAAACCAGCACTACACAACTAATCTCATAATCATAATCTAAATATAATTTTATAATATAGATTAAGATTTTTAAAAGGTGGTTTAGGGATAATGTTATACAGATGTGAATACAGAACCCAATCAATACCACATACAAACCATGGACTACATAAAAGGGAAGTGACCTCACCCAGGCCAATGCAGCTCTCCTGCTGCCTGCTTTATCTCACTCAGCGCTATCTGCACAGGTGCACTACTTTGAGATTACCTTTTTCCATAGGCAAAGGCTCCATCCATGAACTTGGGAGTCACTCAACACTGCTAGAGGATGACAATGGGCTTTTCATTCCTTTTTTCACATTTAGTTTTTGATACATACAAACATACAAATTGTACATATGAATGGGGTGTCATTTGATCTTTTGATGCATGTATATGTTGTAAAATATTTAAATCAGATTAAACATATTAACTCAAACATCTATTTTATTTTATGATGAATACTTTCAAAATCGTCTTTTTCTAGCTTTTTGAAAGATACAATACATTATCATTACCAACAGTCACCCTGCTATATGACAGCACAACAGAACTTCTTGCTCCTGTCTAACTGTAACTTAATGCCCACTGACCAACATTTCTCCATGCCTCCTCCCAAGATCTTGTCTTCTTACTGACATCAAATCATTGGTTTCTCTGGGTGGCAACCTAGGGCCATAGGATTGGTCATGAACACAGCTGTTAGGCTCAAAATGGAGCCACCAGTGTGCACCAGCCTGCATATGCACAAGCATGTAAGTTTCCAGCAGCCCCCCCAATTAACAGCATGGTATCAGAAATGTGGATTCCCAGGCCCATCTCAGATCTACTCTGTGATTAAAATTTGTACTTTAATTAAGAACCCCAGTTCCTGTGTGCCTTGCAACCAAGACCTGGAGGGCATGGAGTGAGTGACCTTTGACCTCTTGCCAATGGAACCCAACATGAGTGTTGGTATGTTCTATTTCTAAAAACTACTCAGAGTCACTTGGAATAAAAAAAGCAACAAGTTCATAACCAACAGGAAAGTTAGAGGTTAGAATTCACATGTTAAAAAAAAAAATCTAGAGGGACATTAGCCACAGGTGTCTCAGGATATGGGGTTATTGAGAAGTCTCATCTTCTTTAGTATTATTCAATCATGTTTGGATTTGTTGATCTGTTTTACTAATTGGCACACATTACTTTTATAATTAGGAAAAATAAAACTTTAAAAATATTGTTCCCAAGTATAAATGTGTTAATAAGTAACATGAACAGCCAATTACTCAGAGATAATTTCTAACCAAATTCTTTTCTCCTGTCTGCCAAGACCTCTCTGGGCCCTTGGACTCTTGCGTACTCCTGCCTTTGTTTACCCTGGAAGCTTCCATGACTTCTGAAGAAACAAATACCTTCTTTGCATAAAGTGAGCACTGAAATAGTAACGTCCACCAGTTTTGTCCCCTCTGGGTTGTCTATTCCCCACCTGGCACGGAAGGCCCCATGGATACTGGTAAGACCTTACTGGGGTATCAGGGAGCTTAACTGAAGACTCTACTCAAAAGGGCAAAGTGACTCCACATGCTTCCTTAGGAAGGGGAATTACAGCTCTTGTTCTTAGGCTGATAACGAAAGTGAGCCGGGGCAGCCTGTCCTAAGGTATGGGGAATACCAGAGTGGCCACGGGAAATGAGCTAGTCTGGCAAAAGGCAAGCAGAACCATCTCTGAATAAAATTTAACAAAACTATATAGGGGCATGCATTAGAAATCACCCCTCTCAACACACCCTCTAGAAAAATGGGTGTTTGGGTAGGAAAAACTTCTGGAGCACTTGCCACTCTACTTCAGAGACTCCAGGGTCAGGGGAAGTAGAGCCTGCACCCTCTGCTCTGTGTGCCCAGGCCACATGCTGAATCATTTCCCAAACAACCTTCCACTCTTGTTTTATGTTCTACTTCCTAATGAGAAATTAATTTAAAGGCATCTAGAGTTTTGAATTATAACTTCTAGAATTATGAAATTGGTGTAGGTGGGGTCAACGTTAAGCCAGACACTTTCCAACCTGGAGTGGGAACTGAGAAGGGGCAGTCCACCTGCTCTCATCTTGACCACACCCTGGCTCTGACGCTTTCTGGTGCTGACATTGGGCACACTTTTCTATGCCTCATTTTCCTCATCTGTAAAGGAGGGACAATGGTAAGAGTACCCACCTTAAAGGACTGCTGTAAGGACTAAATGATAGAACAAGGCTTGGAACAGTGCCTGATATGTGGTAAACATATGGTCATTTTCATCATCTGAAAAGCGTTGGATGTGGTTTGTGCCTCAAGGGTTTATGCACTAGAAGCTTGATCCCCATTGTGGTGTTGCTAAGAGATGAGCTTAGTAGAAGGTAATCAGATCTGCTCTCAGAAGGGATGAATTCTGGGTTTGAGGAGTGAGTTAGTTCTCCTAAGAGCAAGCTGTTATAAAGTGGGGCCTCCCCACATGCTTGGACCCTCTGTGCATACCCAGTTTCCTTTCTAATTTCTCTACCATATTGTGAGAATGCTGGTGTCATGCAATTGGTCCTCCAGAACTGTGAACTGAATAAATTTGTTTTCTTTATAAAGTATCCAAGCCAGAGCAGTGTTGCATGCCTGTAAGCCCAGTGACTTGGGAGGCTGAGGAAGGAGGTCTGTGCAAATTTGAGGCCAGCCTTAGCAACTTAGCAAGGCCCTAAGCACGCTGTCTGTAAAATAAAATAAAATAAAATAAAATAAAAGGCTCAGTGGCTAAGCGCCCCTGGGTTTAGTTCCTGGTACGTAAGTAAGTAAGTAAGTAAGTAAATTAATTAATTAATTAATTAATTACACAGTCTAATATACTACCACTTTTATTATTCCATGGGTCTCAATCTGTGACACCTCTGAATGTTTTCAAATCCACACTGGCTGCAAAGACATTCAAATCCAGGTTAAGCTGACAGAAGACCAGCTCAGACTCAAATGCAGTTATTGGCTCACTCAACTTCGTCTGAACCAATGGGACCCACTACCTGATACAGTCTGTATCACCAGCAGACACAGAACTGAAGTTCTGTGACCTTGAACATGAACTCCATGCATAGCACCCCTCACACACAGTGAATAGCTTGTTCCCACCCTTCTAGATTTTTGTGGACATCTTCGAACAATGAGGGCTTTCTTTGTCAGCTGACATCTACATTTGCCTGTGCCAAGTTGTGAGGAAGCAGTGAACCCCACCCACTAGCCCAGGCAGGAGTGGTTCTTTCTCGATGCCACTCCCTGCCTTTCCTCCTGACACCTGGGCAGAACTGGCTGCTGGGTACAGCTCACTGCAATGGAGGGCTCCCAGCAAATCCTCCAAGACCTGGCTCTGAAGGCTGAGTTTGAGGTGGAAAATCACCAGGTGTTGGAAAACTGTGATTCAACGCAAAATTGGAGAAAGAGAAGGAAAAAAAAAAGGGAGTTGAAGATAATATGTAGGAGATCCCACTGGAAGGACAGAGAGTATTAAGGAAGGGAGCGGGTATGGACAAAAGGCAGGAAGAAAGGAGAAGGTGGAGTGGAGGACTGGGAGGGAAGGAGATGGGGCAGGAAAGAGGAGTGACTAGTTTTCTTCATACATTTCTATACTTCTTGTTGTATTACACTAGGTTTACTGTATTTATAATTTAAAAGGAAGGGTAAGTGACTAAATGAGACACCATACTAATGCATAGATAATAACTGGGTTCATTTTCCTGGAGCAAGAAAGAGTCCACGTTTTCCCCTGGGCTTCCACCCTTGCTCACTCACACTGCCCAGTTGCCGGCTACAGATACGCCAAGGTGTCCATACTTTATGAGCATCTATATTATTCTCAAGACAGTGACAACCTGAAGTGTGGTGCACTTTACAGATGGGAGTAAAAATTTCCTTCACCAGGCACCAGACACTGAGCTAATAGCATGACTGTGCTGTCTGGCTCGGCTTCATCAGGATGGCCCATGAGACTGATGTCACCGTCCCACCCTGCATGCCCAGACTATATAATTCATCTGTGGACACGTCACTGGCTGTGAGTAGAGGGGTACCCAGCATTCTAAAGCAAGCCACCTGACATCTCTCTGCACTCTGCAGACCCCTTCCTGTTCCCTACCTGTCCCTGGACTCTGAATATCCTTGGATGAGAACACCTGCCTACATCCACAGGGCCAGCTTTCAACAAGCAGCAGGATGAATGGGTTAATTCACAGCACTATAGAGATGAAGCACGACTTTTCTCTCCTGCTTCTTGCCAATGCACTGCACTAACATCCCTTTGTTTTATTTTTTTGAGGGACAGGGATCTAACTCAGGGCTTCACACTCAATGAATGGGTAAGTGCTCTACCGTGAGATAAACTATGCCTTTTATTCCTTTGTTTTAGGTAAGCTTCAAGCCTGGTATTTAATAAGTATTTGGTGAATTACTGACTGAAAACAACACAATCACATACTAATAAGAACAACTGAAGGCACCGGCAAAGGATCAAACACTTGAACAGGGAGAGGTGTGCTTAGAATAAGACTCTTCATAGGTAAAACCCCAAGCGAGAACCCCAAAACTGTAAAGGATTCCTGTGTCATTGAATACTTAACAACACAATATAGATTTTAGTATAAAGGAGTTTCAAACATTTTCTTAATGCTGTGCATGGCGTATCCCTCTAAAAGAAGATAGCTTTCTATGAATCAGGTTAAAATTCTGATCTACTGTTGACAGAAGTACTAAATTTGGTCTGTGTTTATTTAAAATTTTCATTTGCAAACATACCTAGGAATTTTAAGAACACAGCCTAAACTCTGTTCTCAAACCTACAGATGACCCCCATGAAAGCAGTTAATAGAAGCTCACTAAATAACTCTCTAAAGATATTTGCTCCGTTAATGTATCCCACCAGGCACCCAGCCTGGCTACCACAAAGCACTCACTGCTTTTTTCAGAACTACTGAGCTTACTAATTTAGGAACTCCACTACTATTTTTAACATGTTCTAGTAGTAATTAGCAGCTGTCAGCTCCTTGTGCTCAATTCTTTTTGAGACTGATGAGGGGTACTAGAGTCCTACAGCAGGGTAGAAAGGGAAATAAACGTTATTCAGAGAAATCATACAGACTGCACCATCAGCCTGAACCTGAACTCACAAATTTAAGTAGCAGCCAGAAAACAGGAGCAGTTTTTTTTTCTTTCCTTTTTTGTCTTCTTAGGGATTGAACCCAGGGCCTTCTGCATACAAGGCAAACACTCTACCAACTGAACTATATCCCCAGCCCTGAAAACAGGAGCAGTTTTGATTCTCATATGATCAGAATTGGCGCTTCCAACTCAAAACAGGTGTGGACTTGTCTGATTTTCCTAGGTTCATCCATCCTGTTAAGTGTATCTCATCTCAGTGCTAAGGAACCAGTGTTTTCACTTACCCAAACTCAAATGTCACAGAGCAGAAGGCCCAGTCCCCTCCCTAGAAGCCCACCATCTGCTTGGTTCTGTGGATGAGTCAAAAATAGTCAATAGTTGATTGAAAATCAATAAATACTGAATAATCAGCAAAGAAATGTGTGGGAGGTCAACTCCAGCAAAATTGCCACTCATGTTTCCCAGATGATTTTTTAAAAAAACATGCTTCTGAAATTTATTATCCATAGCTCTAAAATAAAAGTAATAAAGGATTTATTTAAATAAGCTACATTGCTGCTAAATGCCTGTTGCTCACTATCTTTTGATAATAATATTCCAGGAAGGGTAGAGTTAAGAGGAGGATCCAAGGTCAAGTTGGCATCTACACAGCCCCACACCACTCAGTGAGCCTTGGCCAAGGAGTCAGGACATGGGTGCAAATGATGGCTACTTCCAGGATAGGTGTGTGTAGACAGTTTACACCTTGCCTGCCAATCATATTATGAGGAGTCTAAAAATGATCTTTTAGAAAGTGAACTTATTTTTGATGGAAACAATATAATGGTCTACCAACAGATGAATAGAAAACAAAATGTGGTCTCTCTACACAATGGAATATTATTCAGTCTTTAAAAAGAGGGAAATTCTGACACTTGCTACCATGTGTGTGGACTCAGGACATTACCCTCAGTGAAATATGCCAGTCATAGGACAACTACAGCTTGATTCACACTGTTAAGGACTGGGGAGGGGAAATAGGAAATTTGTGTTTAATGGGTGCAGAGTTTAACTTGGGAAGAGGAGAAAGTTCTGGAAATGGAGAGTCATGATGGTTACACAACCAACCGAGTGAATGTAGCTAATGCCACTGACTTGTTCACTTAAAAATTGTTAAGATGGCAGATTTTCTCAATAATTAAAAAGAGAACTCACCTTTGAAGTTGCCGATGTACAGGCCAGGCAAGATCTAGGAGAGAGACACAGGAAGTGAGTGTTGTAGACCCCAAGAAGACAGTGTTGCACAGAGGTGGAGCCCTCACCTGCGCTGTGAGACCCAGTACAACCTGGTAATATCACCTGCCACACCCACTTCCTAGAAACACTCCTGACAGAGGGCATAGGGGACCCCACACTCTCAGCTCCAGCCTCCAGATTGTCAGCTGTCAGCTCCTTGTGCTCAATTCTTTTTGAGGCTGATTAGGGGTACTAGAGTCCTAGTAACCAGGACTACTAGGGTAGAAAGGGAAATAAACATTATTCAGAGAAATCATAAAGACTGCACCAACCATCTGAACATGAGCTCACAAATTCAAACAGCAGTTTTTTTCTTTCTTTTTTGTGTTCCTAGGGATTGAACCCTCGTAGCCCACAGCCACTAGGAAACCTGCTCAAAGGACCTGGTGATGGCTGCACATGTGTGTCCATCAACTCACTAGGCTGAAGACCCAAACTGTATGCTGTCCTCCCTCAAGGGCTGAGGCAATCTGAGAGTCCCCTCCCCCAACCCTCCTGCCTACCTTTTCCACTACTGCACTTTTCTGAAGGCCCTGACAAACCCTAAACTCTGCTGCCCGAAGCCTTTGCACATGTTCTGCCTACTGCCAGGCAGCTGTGAACTCACCCTGGTGGGGCCTATCCTGAACCCCAAGTCTGGGGGGATAACACTGCATCAATGCCCACAGTGCTCTGTGTCCCCCACTCAGTGATGCTGTGGCAGGGCATGCCAAGGCCCATCCCTCTGCTGCACTGGAAAGCCCCTTGAGTAGCAAACATATCCTGTCACTGAAAACTGTAGCCGTGGCTCCTAGACCCTATGATTATCATTCAATAAAGAATTGATAACTGCACGAATATACTCAATATACTTAGGCTGATAAGGATACACATTTGCTCAGAATTCTTATCTTGCTAGTCCTTTGCATGGACACTGCTCTGGAATCTAAACATTGCTGCTATGATTTGAAGGTATGTGAAGTTCGCTGGTTTTGCAGATGCACAGATACTTAGGCCACACCCTCCTGTCAGCACCCACTCGCTGCCAGCTCAGGCCTCTCATGGTCCCTATTTTCATCCACTCCCACTGAGAAGCCAAAAGCAGCCTGTGGTCATGTTCCTCACATGCGCTGATTCATCAGGCATCTTCCTGACTATTGGCTGCCTTGCTACATACCCATGACATGGATCAAATCACTGCAGGGGGTCTCCTGTGGTACCTGGCAGAGCCACAGGGTTAGCTTCTGTGTAGACTGAGGGGTCAGAGGGCCAACCAGCCAAACTGAAATACTTCTGGGAATGAAAAGAGAAACTGTGAGTGATTACTGTGGGACATCTGGGCAGGCGGCAGAAGTATTGCTCTGGATGACCCAATACCCAGGGACACAAAATTAGCCTGAAGAGTGTCCCATGGATCCTCAAGGTCAGTCATGTGCCCGATGGAGGTCACAGCAGGAGGCAGGCCAGGTTAGCTCTGTAGCTAAGAACTATGAAACAATATCTCAGAGGAAGACACCAGTTCCATTGTTAAGGAGCTCAACATTTGACAGGTTTTTCTTGAAACACAGTCTTGAGGATTCTCCTGGGAGGAAGGGTGGAGTAGGTTTTTCATCATGCCTGCTTTAAAACATAAGAACAATGCAAGTTCATCTTGGAGACTGACCAAGCTGATGTTCTCTGGCAGCTCTTGGAGGCTGAGAGCTCTTCCATGTGTGAATTTTGATTCCCCAGGGCCTTTCCTATCTTTATTAGGATGTGATATTAGATAGTAAAGGCCATCACATGGCTCTTTTGGCTAATGGTGAGAAGAACTCCCTTTGACCAAACTTCAGTCAGGCTCCTTTGAGCCCTTTTCTCTACCAGACCTTGTCCTTGGCGCATGGAGTCGGGGGAGGGGCAAAGAATTCTGAAAATAAGCCAGTCTAAGGAGAATCCCCTGACCCATGACCTTCACCAAGCTCCTTTTCCTCCATTCTTAATATCTAATCAGGTTTCTTTTAGAAATTTTCCACCCACTTCCTTGCCCTGCTCCTCGACTTTAAATCCCCTCTTGCCCTATATTATTGGGAGTTGAGTTCAATCTCTCCCCTTGTTGTAATAGTCCTGAATAAAGTCCTCCCTGCCATTTTTAAAAAGGGTCAGAATGATTTTTCTTTCTAGATGTGATTGCAAATGGCTCCATCTTCATGGAATTGACGTTATAAGCATGTTTGCAGGCCCGATGTCACAAAATGCTATCACAACAGCCAGAGGGTCAATGTTTTATTAGTTCCTGTTATGACACTGGGGATACAAGTCTGACTAAAAGATACACAGTCCTGTCCTCAAGGAGCTTATCCCACAGGAAAGGTAGAGGTGACCTGATCATTTGGGGGTCACAGAAGACTTTCAGGAGGCATAACACTCAGGGGATCTGCTGTCCAAGAGAAACAGGCCAGGAGAGAAGGAGGGACTAGTAGGGGAGCAGTGGAATAGCCTGAAGGAGGAAGTCTATTCTCTATGGGAGGAAATGGCTGGATAGCAGGGAGGGCTGGTCCTATGCTGCTGACACTGCGGTGATTGGACATTTTCAGGGTTGTAGCTTAAGTGCCATGAAATGAAACACCACTAAGATGTTTAAAATGCATGGAACTGTTAGAAGATCTTAAGTGTTTTTACTTAATGTATCTTGGAAATGTCATGCAAAAAAATGAAAGGTAAAATCATGTGTATAGAACATGCTTTTACTACCATGCTTGCCTCTGTGCAGGGGATCCTGGGGGTCAGGAATCTGGGAAGGCAATTTTTGCATTTTTGTTTAAAATTTCCCATAAGGTTTAGATGCTCTAATCATGTGCATGCATTACTTCAGTTTACCCTTTGTTTTCTAGGTAGGCAAAAGGGATTTCTGGGGAAAAGATTATGGCACACTTTTGCTTTGTTTTCTTTTTTTCTTTTTTTGTACTCCCACTACCTTCTCTACTAAACATAACTAACATATTTTACATTATTTTTAAAATAAAAGAAGCAATGAGATCAGATCATCTCTGCCCTCTAATGTTCTAGAGCCAACACTTTATAACTCCTAAATCCACCTATGGGAACTCAGCTCTAGTCCTCATCTTCAACTCCTGCTGGACTCTCCGAAACAGCTTATTATTTTCCCATTACTATTATCAATTTCTCCTGCCCCTTGATTGTGCCACCTTCTTCCAGTCATCTTGAAGGGAAAGCCCCCACCCCAACCATCATGGACCCTCTGTCTTGCTTCTCAATTTCCTCCCAGTGGGTGAAGAAGATCCTCACTTCCCTCTCTTCTGAGCCCAAATCCAGATCTCTAATTTATACATGGGCTACAGCAGTGGCCACTGAACTTATTCTCTGTCACACAGAATTAATTTTTGACAGTCAAATTCTTACTGGGTTGTTTTCCAGGTGAAAATGTTCAGTAACAACCCCTCTGCTAAGAAAACAATGGGCAAACATTTCAAATAAAAATTCAACATGGTTTCCATAGTATGTTCGTCACTTCAAAACACCTGGGATAAACACCTAAAAGAGGGAAGATTTATTTTGGCTCATGGTTTCAGAGGTTTCAGTCCATGGTCACTTGGCCCCATTGCTTTGGGCCTGTGATGGCACAGTACCTCATGGTGGGAAGCGACTGGTAGAGGAGGACTGTTTACATCATGGCAGCATGGAGGGAAATGGGCTACGATCCCAAGGTTCCCTTCCAAGACACACCTGACTTCCCTCCACTAGAGCCATCCTTCTAAAGGTTCCACCACCTACCAACAGCTCCACAGACGGCAGTCATGCCTAGTGTGTAGGCATGGCGACCATGCCTAGCATGTAGGCATTTAAGATCTGAGCCATAAAACACAGGGTGGTTCCAAACCACCTCTGAAACTCCCCTTCTTTGCAATCTACAACCAAGCCAAGTAATCCTCATTTTTCCAAAACCCTTGTCCCACCTTGCTCTATCATCTTTTCTTTTTCTCTCAGTATTTTCCCTAAACAGAGAAGAGGTCCTCTGTGTTTAGGGTCCCTCATCCCTTGAGTATACTCAAAAAAATCACAAAGCCTATAAAGTACATTTACTTTCTTTTATTGGTTTCTCAGGCTCTGAAGCCCTTTCCTGTTTGGTGAACCCTCCTCCCCACGTTCCCACAGCAAGCTTGGTGGGAAGCAAAGCCTCTTACTACAGAGGCTGTAAGTACCAGACACCTGCTCATATAAGACTTCGCAGCTCTGGCATGGACACAAGACCTGAGTGCGGACCATAAAAGGCCTGTTGCAAACCATAAATCTGGGAACAACTTGAGCATCTTCTTTGGCAGCAGAAGGTATGTGCTGATGGCACACTCAGCACCTTGTGACTACAGCATGGGCATTTTGGGCAGTCCCCAAAATGCTCTCATCTAACCACTTACAGGATCTTTCTAGGAAGGGCAGCCCCTATGTCTGCTTTTCCTCACTTCTTGGCCATCTGCCCTGTTCTACCTAAGGCAGCTGCATCTGGAACCTGTTGCTTATAACCAGGTCCTTTATGTGGACTTTTAATCCAGAAAAATGGCACAAATGCAGAAAGGCAAGCCAAAACCTTGAGGCAAGTCACAGGCACAGCACAGTCATTCCCGTCCTACCTTGGCTAACAAATGCATAACTGCCCTGCAAGGAATAGCTCAAATGGCACTCTAGGATGCTGAATATCACAAGGATAGGAGATTCCACCCTCCTCTGGATAGTGTTAAAAAAGAAAAAAAAAAACAAAAAAAAAACCAAAAAACCTCTGCACATGTATAGTATAAAAGAAACCTTCACAGGCCTAACCACATAGTACAAGTATGAGAGATGAGGAGTACAAAGCTCAAATGAAAGTGTGTAACACAGCAGGAGGCTACAGCACCCTAGGCCTAAGCATTGCTTCACCTGTAAGAATTCGGTGTGTACTCATCATACTGTAAATTCAAGTTTTGCTTTTTTGGAACTTTC